CCCTCACTGACATTCCACGTGGGTGCTTAAGTTGCCTCGCATATTCTGTGGTAGGGGGAGGGGGGGGGGAATTCTGCTCGCGACTAAAACTGCTAGGGGCAAGCGAGTAATAGGACTAAGGCGAACTCTGTCACGCTATCCGAGAATTTTTGCAACATCAGGAGACTTCATTCTAATCTTATCGCTGTCCACTACGGCGTAGCCGGCGTTGCTCTTTTTAACCGAGGCTGATACTTGATATCTGTCCTATCCGGGGTACAAATTAGAACACTCCTGTGTGCCCCGAGCTGGAGTTTGTTCTATTTTGGTAAATATATATAGGTAATATAAGTATATTTTTAATTTCATGGAAATTATTTTTTATTCCAACTAGTTTTTTACGATTTTTTTGGCATTAAGTTATTTTTTACGATAAACATTTTTCACATTATTACTTATTTTTTTATCGATGCTTACATGCTCCATGCTCACTGGACAATCTATCAAGAAGACTTGAATGATCTACCTGCGTTGACCAATCACAATGACCTACGTTCATCGTCTTTTTTAAATTGTTGAAATTTATTAACACGTTCATTGCCAAAGCTAAAATTGGAGTTTTCTGCTGGTGGCCCAAAACATTTTTTTTTATGAAATAACTTAAGTACAGCAAATACTATTTGAGGGTGTGTTTGTGGTTTTAGTATATATATTTAATATTTTACATAATATAGTTATATATCACTCGACGTCGCGTGATGGGCCATGTGGAGTGTACATTTATCCTTAGGGGCCCCATCACGCGACGTCGAGTTTTGGGATACCTTACCACTTTTGTGCGATTATGAGTTCAAATGTAATAAAATTAAATATTTTTAGTAGCAATATTTTTTATTTGAATTATATAACACACAAAATATCAAAGAAACTTGCATTATAAAAAAAATCGTCTAAATATTTTAGACACCGAAGTCTACAATTATAATGAACAGCTACTTTAGGAAAGAACTATAATAACTTTACTTATTTTATCAAAACATAAATAATATTTGGAAAATTAGTTTTTGGTACAAGTATGTCACATAAAAAAACAGTCCATGCACATAGGCGGACTATCAGGAAATCCTTACATTCCATCGTAGTCTGCACTCGTTTTTTTATTTTTGTAGCAATTTCTACAATCTTTTCTTGCAACTGCTTGCACTTTTCTTTCTGGCCCCGTTTTTATTATCCGTTCCGTCGTTTTGAATATTTTTGTCAACTTATGACTTTTTTGACTTCGATTTCCCGATGAGGATTCAGGTATTTGTGGATTTTCAGGTAAAAAAATTTCAATGATTTTTTCCCTAAAGTCGTATAATGAAATCTTAGGTTTTCCAGACAACTTGTAATGTATAAAAATTTTTAAGTACCAGCGTAAAGTTTTTCTTTCGCATGGGTAATATGAAATCATTTGATCTTGAAGATCAACTCCTGACATGCTTTCGTTATAACGTACTATAGCCAATGGCTTCAGTGTTGCAATACCACGTTTACTGGTAACTTCTTGCATCTCGTCAGAGAACTCTGTCGATATATAATGGATTTCTCTTTTATCTTTCCATTTACCAATATGGACTCCATTTCTATACCGCGAGATATTCTCGCCTTTTTTTAATTTTTTCGTAGTTATAACGCGTGGATTATCTTTACGTTTCTTGTTGAGAGTGCCGGTACAATAAGTAAGTCGACCCAACAGTTTACTAGCTAAGGTATATGAATTATAAAAATTATCCATATAGATAGAGTGGCCAACGTCCAATTTATTTTGCATCAATTTTTTAACATTTTTTTCGGTGTGGCCCTTTCCCACTGTTTTATCTTCTGCCCCCTGTTTTAAACTTTTTAAATTCCCACTGTTTTATTTCCACTCCCGGCAAACATGTGGAAATTTAAAATCAAGCCATCCGGTTCTGCGAGCACGTATAGTTTGATGCCATACTTGTGGCGTTATCCTTTGATGTATTGTCTGAAAAATAGGCGGCCACGCCATAAAACCATCGACTCGTCTAAAGATAGGTTCTGGCCTGTATAATGTATATTATTCATTCTATTGAAATTGTCGACTATTTTTTGACATTTATTTAGACGCCTAGCAGTGGCGTCTTCTTCTTCATCAGGGAGAGTAAAATGTATACAACGTAAAATAATAAAAAATCTGTTTCTTGATATGTATTTCGAAAAGCATGATTTATATAACCAGTGACCCTTCCAATAATCTGTCAATCGGTTCATTTTTGCAGTGCCAGTATGTAACAGAAGGCCCAGAAATGTTTTGAACTTTTCAACGGTCAACTCTTTCCATCTTAAAATACGTGCATGACGATGTTCACTGGAGCTTTTCATACGTTCGGCGTATCAGTGTTTGTGCACTCCACGATCATTCTCAAATATTCTTCATTGAAAAATAAACAAAAATAATCTATTGGATGTGATGGCGGGTCTACATGCAGCTTTGACTCTCGAACGAATGGTATTTGTTTCATAGACGAGCAAGAAGTACTCTAGTGTGAGGTTGATCCTTCGGTGGAAGGTTCAGGACATGTGGCATAGCTGACTCTTCAATCGTTTCATTCAATTTCACTAGGTGGTAGCGGTGATATAACTCCTTCATCTTCTTCGGACTCCAAGATTGAGCTGTCTCGATCATCATCACCCAATAAAAATCTTCGTCATCATCACTTCCCACAAAATCATCCTCACCAGAGTTTCCTAAAGCTTCAAGAATATCCGATTCGTGCAACAAAACACGATTTGATTGCGCTCGCAAAGGTATCTCGTTTGATCGTTTCGTACCCCTAGAGGTACCAGGTTGATGATCACTCATTATAAATTTTGTTTTATTATAATTATTATTACTTTATACTACAGAAAAATACGTATTATTTGTTCATAACTAACTAAAAATAAGCAACAAAGCCGTCCGACTCGAGCGGCGACGCTAAGCGAACTAACCAATTACGTAGCACTAAAACTATCGCATGATTCGGATGGCCACGCCCACTTTGCGATAGCTCAGTCCTTTCTCTAGAGGCCCATAAAAACACCGTTGCGAAAACGCTCCGGCCCAGGCAATACGCTTCATACTAGACGTGGGTCGTTACGTCATTTTCAAGAAACGTAACGAAACCAGTGACTTGATCGGCGTCACCTGTTTCAAAACTAGTGATTTTTATTCGGCTACTGTGATTGTTTGCATAAATATCACCACCAACTATACAGTTACACACGAAACGAAAATAAATTTAATCACAATCTGTGTTTGTAGCTATACAGTAACTGTATACAGTTAAATCAATAAATTAACTTCCCTTCATACTTTATTCAGCTTTAGGACTGACTGCATTAAATGTTAATTTTTGATGAAAAAATTAAAATTAATGATTGATTTGCGTTTACTATGACACTAAGATTTTCATAAAATTATTAATGCAGGCGTATTTATTTACAAGTCAATTTGATTGTATATACAATGATTATTGATATTTACAGTTTATTTACACTTTTTCAACGTTTTCACTATCATTTGTTTTGCACCTTTTATTTACACTGTACAATTAATTTGTTTGTTTGTTCGGCTATTTACACACATTTTTTAATTTTTAATATTATAACCATTTAAATTTTTTATACACATTTTTTAGTTTTATTTTAATTTTATGAATAAACGAGTTCATGACTCCGCCAAAAATGTTTTAAAAATTATTTTAGTTAAATTCAATGTGACTCGCTTCCCGGAATCGCAAACCGTTGAAATTATTTACAAACAGAGATTACTCTATTTTATTGTCTATAGGTAATTTTTTATCCCAAAAATAATTAAAACTAAAGTAAATTACAGTCACACTAAATCTGTACAGTCGAAGCAAACTGAAATGGACCGTAACTTAAGGCAATAAGACTTTTAAGAGTGCAGTTTTATTTGTATTATTACTAATTCTGTCATTCAATAAAAATAAAGAAAAATGAACTTTATTTCAAGAATTTTAAAGTCTGCGTTCGTGGATTTGTACTGTGACCACAACATTCTTCCGGAATTAGTATAACTAATTTGCTAAATAATAAGTGCACATAAAAATGTTCAACTAAAAATTCAGTGTATGTATTATGATTATAACATAATATACTGATTGGGGTGTCTGAAGGGGTTATATATTGTATATATTATCATTTGTATTTATAACATTAAAAATATATAAAGGAGATGAAGTTGAGTCCGTATAAGCGTGGCTGGCGTGAACAAAGTATAAATATGTCTTATTTTTAAGATTTAGACATTTGCTACTTATGTCAATAAATCATATTTTTGTAGAACATGGAGTTTTGTTTTTATTTTATGTTTTATGATTTGTGGTAATCACTCAATCTTATGATAAGTTGTTTAAATAAATTGAAAAGAACACAAAAGAATACAGTTTTGTAGATATTATTAACCTTTTGAGCGCCACGCCGAAAACGCATTACCTTGTCCTGTACGCCAAAGCGAAAAGAAACAAAATACCTACGAAAAAAATAGTGTTGCCAACAGTTGATATATCGATAACACAAAAATAACTTGTTTTTGTTGGTTTTTTATGCAATAAATAACTCTTTATAATCTGGTATGTTTTATTTAATCTTGTGCTGTCTTCCACTCTTCTTATTATGTACTTTGTACATAAATAAAAAACAACAATAAAATAGTAGTAAACCACCCCGCCACTAGCTCTACTCTCCATCGTGATGACGTCTGTCACGGCTGGACGACGACGGTGTACCTGACCTAACTTTTTGAAACTTAGCCACTCGTGATATCCGTCAGTCTATGGACCTATTAGTCTGACCTATAGTCAAGCCAAAGAGTATAGTAGGTTTGGCCAAAGACAATTTTTTTAAACGTAGGTAAATATAACTTACAGTCATTACCATGTTCTTATCCAAAAATAAAAATTATCAACAATTAAAATATCGAATTATTTCTATGAAGATCACGTGAGCGCTAGAGAAATGATTGTAAGACGTTGTTGACAAATAAAATGTTTAATGAAATAGTACAGTAAAAATAGAATTTAACATTGCAAGAAATTTCCGATTCAATTTTATTTTTTTATGAGGTTTAGGATCACTTATTCAGCATAAAATCACAAAATTACGACAGATCCAGGTGGCGCTACAGAAAACGCTTTGCTTGAAAAAACGTTTTCAGCCGATATTTCGGTAACTATGCGCTGGAAGGTAAAAGTTATACAAACCATTATTGTAGAAAATAAAATTTCGCATCTTTTGTTTCCAGTAAATTTTTTTGTAAAACTTATCGTTTACGATTTATGGCCCATTTTAATGAACAGGTGGCGCTTCAAGCGCCATCTTGAAAAAAACGTTTTCAGCCGATATCTCGGAAACAATGCACTTTAAGGCAAAAGTTATACAATTATTGTAGAAAATAAAATTTCGCATCTTTTGTTTCCAGCAAACTTTTTTGTAAAACTTACCGTTTACGATTTATGGCCCATTTAATGAACAGGTGGCGCTTCAAGCGCCATCTTGAAAAAACGTTTTCAGCCGATATCTCGGAAACAATGCACTTTAAGGCAAAAGTTATATAAACAATTATTGTAGAAAATAAAATTTCGCATCTTTTGTTTCCAGCATACTTTTTTGTAAAACTTACCGTTTACGATTTATGGCTCATTTAATGAACCGGTTTTTCTATCGCGGCCAGTAACTCTTTAAATATTAGATTAATCAATAAAATGCATTAATTTATTTTGAAAGATCAGTTTATTTTCCAAAACTCTTGTTTGAAACTTTTTTTTCTAACATTCATACATTTTGAGTTATATGACGTTTCACGTCACGCATAGCTGCCAGCGTCACCCGCCGAGCTCGGCCGACGCTCGGCAGGTAACGCGGCAGCTACTTTATGATTAAGAACCCAGATTTTATTGCTATTATTTCGGGGAATTTCAAGTAAGACGTCATTATTGTTTACTAACTACGACTTACGGAGTCTCATTTTGAAATTCGAGTTATAGAGTATAAATATCTATTATCAATATTTCGTAGGGAAATAACATTTTCTTCGAGTTACAAAGTCTAATAATTCGAGATACCGCGTATTTAGGGGTTCAGCGGAAGATAATGGCAATTTTTTCAACTTACTGAGGATTTCAACTTAACGAGTCTCGAGTTATAGAGATTCCACTGAATATCATAACACGTATATAATTTTTTAAGTAGAGCTTGTCTATCAGCAACTTAATATTACCTAAGTTTTTAAGTTTATATATGAACTATATAATAATATAATTATTTTTAAATGTTATTTATAATCTTATCTATGGTTTCGAGTAAACTTAGTGATCACATACTCTTTGGTTCTAAGGCGTCCCTCTAAATATTAGTATACTCTTTGGCGCGGTCTAACAAGGAGCACAAACTAATAAAAGTACTAACGTAGACGTAGACAGAGAAACCTATAGACTAATGATCGGCGTGACCTCGAGTGAGAAAGGACGATAACGAATTTTTAGGTTATACAATAATCTTTACGACTTTTAAACACATTTAGATAAAAAATTTAATTGTTCTAAGAACTGAACTTTAACACTTTTTTCTATCTTTTTTGTGTGCGAATGCGAAAGAAGGCGTCAATTTGTCTATAGGTTTCTCTGTCTACGGTACTAACGTACAGACACGGAATCTAGTCATATATACATAATCTGGTCCAGACGATAACTGACCATAGGTACTAAGAAATTGGTCTATAGCAGCCTCAAAAATTGAAAGTGACATTTACGTTTTTAAAGTTATTTAAGGCAGGTAAGGTAAGGTATTTATTTGTTTCAGCCTAGTGGCCAGTGGCTGTAAAAAAACCTCTTAGAACTTTGAAAATTTATTTTTATTGGTTTAAACTTATGTACGTGTTCACAACGTGACCACGTACATAAATTTAAACCGTGATTAACGTTTATTTAAATATAAAGAAATAAAATACAGAAATATTTATTGTCTTTTATTTTTACATTTCAGTGTAAATTTACAAGTGCAAGCAAATTCTTTCCTTCTAGGCGCAAAACATCAATTTCTTTTAAATATTGCCACAGCCATTGAAACCTTTATAATTACAATCTAATTTTTTATCGAAGGAACTGATGGTTCTTTGCACATAGGTCACATATTCAATTCAAATGATGTAACAACTTTTCTCAAAATTTTCTCCTTGTAGTATTTATGGTTTGTGCTAGTTGCTCCGCCATTCACCAAATATGCAGCAATATCTATTTAATAACCGAGTACTCCTAGGCAGTTTTCAACCTGCAACAAAAATAAATTAAAAAAAAAAGTAATAATGAGTTGATAAACATGGTAGCATTTTATTTAAGATTGTGTGAGTATTGCAAAGGTTCTTTTTAGATACAATCAGTCACTAAGGGTTAATTTTTCGATGGTAACATACATGTAACATAATTAACGCACTTTGAGAAAGTAGTTTGTTCGAATCGTTTATTGAATCGATTCCTATCATTTTTAATATAGGTAATTTTTTATCCCAAAAATAATTAAAACTACGTAAATTACAGTCACACTAAATCTCTAGTCAAAACAAACTGAAATGGCCTAACTGAAATAACCTAAGGCAATAAGAATTTTAAGAGTGCAGTTTTATTTGTATTATTACTAATTCTGTCATTCAATAAAAATAAAGAAAAATGAACTTTATTTCAAGCACGTTAAAGTCTTTGCGTTCGTGGATTTGTACTGTGACCACAACATTCTTCCGGAATTAGTGCATAAAAATAATCAGTGCATAAAAATGTTTAACTAAAAATTCAGTGTACGTATTAT